TTTCTAGTTTCTTAAGGTAGCTCTTGCTTTTTTAAAATTGTGAAGTATTTCAAACATACAGAAACTTCTAGGGGAATCACAGTGTACCCAACACCTCAGATGAGCACTTTGGCATATTTACTCTTTATCTGTATTTAAATTATATAGTGGAAGACCTCGTCCTAATCCCCCTTTCACTTTACAGATCTAAACACTACCTTGAAGTTAATATTTCCCTCAACTTCTTCATTTAGGCTTTCCATATATGTATCTTTCCCTAAGTAATGCATAGTATTGCTTTCTATATTCTTAAAGTTTACATAAATGAAATTATCCTGTATGTATCCCCCATAGCATTTTTCATTCAGCAGAAATTTCAAGATTCATCCATATAAATATAGATTTTTAATATATAGGTTTGGTTAATTTATTATTTTATTTTATTTATTGATTTTTTAAAGTAGGCTGTATGCCCCGTGAACACACACACGACCCGGAGATCAAGAGTTGTTTGCTCTACCAACTGAGCTGGCCAGGCGCCCCTGATTTGGTTAATTTATCTTAACCGCTTTGTAGTATTCTGTAATTAAATATATCTTTTTTAATGTTTCTTTAATAATACTAATATAGGTTGTTTCTAATTTTTTGCAGTTATAAAATGTAAAAATGAACTTCTTTTTGCATTTCTCCTTGGCAGCGTAGGTTTCAGATTCTGTGTAGCCTATACCTAGAAATACAATTGCTAGGTTAAATGATATGAATTGTTTTCAACTTTATGTTGTCAATTTCCTCTTCCCAGTAGTTGTACTAACTTCTGTTCCTATCAGTAAAAATGAGGATTTCCATATCAGGAATTGTTTTCAGGTGTCAGTACTGAAAGCTGTTAGTGGTTTACTGAGTTTGTGGTTTACGTCGTTAAGGTTGTCCTGTGGTCCCAAGTTGGCTCATAGAGTTCAACTGTAATGTCCACACAGAGGAAGAGAAGAGGGAAGAACCAAAAAGTCTGTTCTGGAATCATCAGCCAATTGTGTTGACATCTTGTTGGCTGCCCTTCTCTACATAGGAGACTGGGACATATATTTTCAGCTGGGCACATTGTATATAACAAAGAGGGGGTGGTTGTTGGGCAAGCCATAAACGTTTATTGACACAGATCTTATTGCTAACATTTGGGATTATTAAATGTTTCATTTTTGGCAGTCAGGTAAGTTTGAAGTGGTATCTTAAATTTTAAAACGACATTTCCCTAATTACTGGCAAGGTACAGAATTTTTTACATGTGTGTTCAGGTCTTCTTTTCTGTGAATTGCCTGTGGAATGGATATCCCTTTGCCATTATTCTGTTAAGTTTTGTCTTTGCCTAATTAATTTAGCATAGTGCTTTAGTATTCAGGGTACTAATTCTTTGTTTATATCCAAATAGATGCTTTTGTCTTATTTTTGAACTTTTGGTATGGTATCCTTTGTCATACAGAAATATCCATTATAATGGAGTTCAATTTAGCAGGTCTTATCCTTTGTGATGTATTCTTTTCATGTGTGATTTGTAGAAGAAATTTGTCTCCTACCTGAAGTCCTGAAGAACTGTTATAAAAATGTTTTAAACTTTTGCTTTTCAAAAAGTCCATTTGGGATTTTTTTGTATTTTTATTTGTTAATGATCTGAGGTAATGACCTAATTTAACTCTTTTCTGTCTGGAAGGCCACTGGTTCCAGCAACATTCATTACATATTCCATGCTTTTGCAGCTGTCTGCTTTGCTACATCTATCATCCTTCCAATTTCCATGTGCGCATGAGCTTTTGAGTCTGTTCTATTGTATTTTTACTTCCCCCTCTGTATCATTCCACTGCCTTTTATTATGACAGCTTTTTAAAAAGACTTTGTCTAGAACCATTAGAGACGATGGACTCTGAAAAACAAACTGAGGGTTCTAGAGGGGAGGGGGGTGGGGGGATGGGTTAGCCTGGTGATGGGTATTAAAGAGGGCACGTTCTGCGTGGAGCACTGGGTGTTATGCACAAACAATGAATCATGGAACACTACATCAAAAACTAATGATGTAATGTATGGTGATTAACATAACAATAAAAAATTATAAAAAAAGAGACTTTGTCTAGTAAACTAGCCTCCCTTCTTTAAAATTGTCTTGGCTATTCTTGGCTCTACTTTTTCTTTTTTAAAAAATATTTAATAAATTTATTTGAGAGAGTGTGTGCGCATGATTGTGGGGTGGGGCAGAGGGAGAGGGAGAGAGAGAATCCCAAGCAGATTCTGCACTGAGCATGCAGCCTGATGCAGGGCTCTGTCCCAGGACCCTGAAATCATGACCTGAGCCGAAATCAAGAGTCCGATGCTCAAATGACTAAGCCACCCAGGTGCCCCAGCTCTACTTTTCTAGAAGTTTTAGGATCAAGTTGTCCAGGTGCATGATAATTTTGATTAGAATCTACTTGAGTTCTTAAGCTAATTAAGGGGAATCTGACATTTTTATGATCTTGAGTCTTCACACTCAGTCAGCATGCTTTGCCTCTCTCTTTGGTCGCTTGGTATGTCTTTAGTCACAGCTACCACACGTTCGCATAAACGTTTTGCCTCTTTTGTTAGACACATTCCTAGGGGCTTTACAGCTTTCCTTTGTATTGTGAGTGCTGTCTTTTTAAACAGTTTATTTTCTGAGTGGTTACTGTTGGTGTATAAGCATGCCTTTGTTTTTATCTGGTTCTTGTCTCTAGGAACACTTGATCTTAGTGGTTCAGGTTTTCATCATCCTCCACCTTTCTTTTCGGTAAATCCATATTTATTAATTCCTGCTTTTGCATTTCAGTCGTGTGGGTGTCCCGTCTTGTGCTTGGCCATGAAAGTAAGGTTGCTGTCCTGCTTTTTGAGGCAGCTCAGACCATCCTACCCCCCTTAAAGCAGCTCCCTGCTGCTGTTACCTATTCTCAGTTATGGTCAAAAGGAACTGCCAGAAGAAATACGGAGTTACATTAGGTTCTGTGCCTTATCAACCACAAAGATTTCTCTGGGGCTGATTGCTGCTCTGTTCCCCCCTCCCCCCGCCAAGTTCCAGTTTACTTCCTACCTTTATTTCCCCTGTTCTTTGTCTCTCTCCCTTGGCTGCCTTCCTGTTTTTCCATCCTTCCCCCTTCTCCCCTCATTTTCTTAACTGGCATTTTTCACACCTGCCGGACACTTTATTTTGTACTTTATGTATGTTAACTCATTTGATTTTTGTTCTAGTCTATTGAGGCAGGTAGGACAACCCTGTTTCTGAGATGAGGGACTGAGGGGCCCAAGCTTACGTAAGTGGGAGAGCCTGGGTAATGAGTCAGGCCATTTCAGACCCTAGTATCAGTGGGCTTTCTGCTTTGTTATACTACTGAAACCAAGGTCCTTCCTTATTGTTTTTCTAAGGAGATGAGTTAACTGTGCTATCTTTTGCTCTAATAAAAGAATTCTAGTGCATCTATTAAGATGGGGTCTTTAGAGTCAAGTAAATTCAAGTGTTTATTTTGGGCGAAGGGTGTTACTCGAGTCTTTTGTGAGCGTCCATCTGCAAGAGCACCCAAAGGAAAGAGACACAAGAGGGAAGAAAGACTTAAATGAAGAAACTAGAAATAGAAGTTCACTGTGCCAGATATGTTTTACACATAAGCATTGTGTGAAGCCGTGTAGCTACATGCATGCGCTAGCAGGTGTCCGTCCTGTTGTCACAGCACGGTTACCTGTCTCCGTGTTCAGGCCAGCCTGCACTTCCAGCATGTAAGGGCAGCGCCCTTGCTTTGTAGGTGTTGATGGGAGCCAGGAGCTCAGTCAGCTGATTGTGTTCACGGCTCTGCCACTGATTGGCATCGTTGTCCTGGGCACGCTGTCGTCTTTTTGCGGGCATTCATCTCCTACGTGGTCAATCCACATGGGAGATGAGTGGTCAGACATCTCCGAGGATACAGCTGGATCCATAAATTAGTAACAACACCCAAACTCGTTTGAGACCGTTTTTGTCATCATTGTGATAGCTGTTTTCATGCTCGGAAGGTCCTTCGTGGCCCCTGTTCCTGTGTTCACATCCTTTCAGATCATAATAACCACGGTGTCTGCTCATATTCTGTGTGTTCTCGAGCATTCCTGTCGCCAACCATGTAGTTTTCCAAGGAATGGAAGATTAGATAATCCCTTGAATGGTGCGCCATTCCCTCTTGGGACATCGTTCAGTGCTTTTGAGTTTTGTTTCTGGTTTTTTTTTTTTCTTTTTTTTGGAGTTTATGGACTATTTGTTTAATTAGATTTCCAGTCATGAGACGACTGTATTCCACCTGTTTTAAAACACACTATGATGCTGCCAACAGTGTTTGGATGATTCAGTTAAAGTATAGACAGCATTCATTCATCTAGGGAATGTTTACCGAGGCCCTGCACTGGCGGAGTGTGTGTGTGTTAGGTAAGGGAGATGGATGACAAACATAACAAATATTTTCTATTAGAAGATTTCAGCACAGAGCAGGGGAGGGGATGCTGAGAGTGGGCATGGCCTGCATTTTAAAGGTCAGCCACTGAGGAGGTGGCATTTGTACAAGGATGGGAGGCAGTGGGGTTGCTCTGTGTATTTTTTTCTTCCTTTTTTTTTTTTTTTTTTTTTACTAATTTTAGAAGTTTATATAGAATCTCCAGATTACTGTAATTTACTTTCTTTGTTAATGACAACGAACAGTTTCCCACATTTTCTATGTTTGTATTTAATTATGGCAAAATTTGATATTCTTACAAAAGCACAAAAGTTTCTATGTAAGACTGTCCCTGTCTTTACAGTTAAGAGTGGGGAAATTGGGAAATAAGTTTATGTTTACACAGGAGGAGACTGTTCTGCCCAGGGCTTTAATGAGGAACCAAGAATTACCTCCAGTGTAAGATTAAGAAAAAGAAGAAGATTGCTTTTTCTCTAATTGTATTTCTAGTTTAAGTAAAAACATGGTACTTAATACTAAGATGTAAAGGAATAACAGATTTTTGTTATTTTATAGGGTGACTGTTGGATCTGTATGGAACTCATGTCTACCTCGTTTGATAAGTTTTACAAATATGTATATAGTGTATTAGATGATGTTATTCCAGAAGAAATTTTAGGCAAAATCACTTTAGCAGTAAGTACCTGGTTTTCAAATTGTTCATTCTGTATATACTTACATAAAGATGCTGCTGGAGTTTTGAATGCACCTATCTGAATGTCTTTCACAGAATGTTGTTGACCTTCCTGGAAAATCATTTGTAATAGGAAAAGAAACAAAATCACTTCTGTGGGGGTAGTTAATACAACAAGTCATAAGAACAATTTTCAAAATATGTTCTATGTAAAAAAACTACAATATTCTGTTCTTTAAAATCACGATGAACCATAACAGACTGTGCTGTAAACAAAACCAGAAAAAGAAAGTTTCTGTTCCTTTTTAGCCCCGTTCCTGTACTTTTAAATAGGTTATATTCTCACCATTATCTCTAAATTACTCAGAATCACAGCATTCTCCTTGAAGTCCCTTCAGTGAAACTCATAGACAAAATATCTTTCCTGTGTTTTAAGATGTGAGCTGTCTGCTCTAAAATACTGACATTTTTGACTAGCAATTTCAGTAACCAGCATTGCTATCAATTTGGCCAATTCACTTTTCTCAGAGTACTGGAAAGAAAAGAGGTGCTCTTTTGCATGTGTGTTTGTAGTTTTGAAAGTGAATTTCTGATCATTTTCTTTCTTGCTCTGAATCTTTTAGTTGACAAAGGTTGTTCACAAAATTCTTTTCAATGGAGTAGAATTAGGTTCTTAGAAAGCCCTAAGAATCTGAGCTAATGACATGATGTAGGTTAGTGGATGTGTAAACTTAAGTTTTATAGGAAGTTGTAAGTTAGATATTCTGGTTGCACGTAATTTTCTGCCGCTTCCTTTCCTGCATCCTCCACCTCCAGTATAGTCTGCCTGCCGATTGCCAGTTGATCCTGTTTGGTCATTAAGAGTTAATGTAAAAATATATAGACAGTTTCTGAACTGCATTTTAGTTGTGAAAGGGGTGTTCGTGTGTGTGTGTGTGTGTGTGTGTAATAGGAATTTCAAAAATGAGATTAAAGTCATAATCTTAAGTTTCATGTTAATATTTTAATTTATTTAGCCAAATTGGTGCATAAATTTAAATATTTTATGAGCTAAATGTTATGTACCCTTTCGTATGATTTTATTAAAAGAAGCTGAGTTATTCTAGGAACTTGTTTATTCTTGGGAAGATGTATGACATATATATTGATCAATTTTGTCATCTCTCTCTCTCCAGTATACCAGACCCAATATTATCTTGGAACTTTTACTATTCATAATAATTATAATGCAACAATAGTAGAATAATGAGAGTAGCTAATGGTTATTGAATGTTTATTTGCATCAGGCTAAGATCTTACGACATTTTATCTTCATAGTGACTCTCTGTGGTGAATAGTGTAACCCCCTTTTTACAGATGACAGATATGGAGCTTTATACAGTTGTAGGTGGTAAATGATTTAAGCCCAGCAGCCCGATCCCAGAATCCTGCTCCTAACCACTGTGATCACAGGATGATCGTGAAGTTGGAAAACATAGACAAAATTATTTTCTTGTATATTGCAGTGTGTGTAATATAGATACACAGATAAATCATTGGTTATATATTTGCCCATGTTTCTGGACTTGGTGATCATCCTTTCTATTAAGCACAACATTTAAAATTACTTTGTGTTAAATCTCTTTTTGCTAATTAATAACCCAGTGAACACAACAAGCCCAGCTACTTGAAACATGACAAGTTCTGCATTCCTGACACCCAGCAGCTTGATGGGGCAGAGACTTGACCATTTGATAGCAAGTGGTTGGCATGTTCTTTAGTTCCCTTTTAGTTTGAGGTTGTGGGAAATTTTAATTCAAGTCCCTGTTCCCTGTATTCCTGGAGAAATGCCTGATTTTCTGATCATGAGCAGTGATCAAACAATATTGTAAATTCTGCATAAATTGCCATAGTGGTTGAGCAGAGATACTTTGACTTGGCCAAAATTACTTTGAAGGCTAGCACTGCGCAAAGGTGAATGAATACGAGAAACCGAGGAAATTTGAAAAGACTTATTTAAATTAGAGTTGATAGTGGAACCAGACTGTGGACTCTCTCGTACTGAATATTTCCATTCTTGAGAAGTTTGAAGTTGCAAGAAATGTACAACTTTGTAATGACTTATTAAAAAATTATTAAGTTATTGGGTTCTTTTTAGCTGTCAGGGAACAGCATGTAACAGTAACTAAGTTTTCAGATCTAAAATAATCAGCATCTTTAGTTAACATAAAAAGTGGACAGAATATTGGAATTATTAAGCTTAAAAGAATGCAAAGGGCTACTAGAGCTGTTACCTATGATGAGCTGTGTGCTATGTGATTAAAAGGATACTGATTGTTTACCCCATCTTTGCTTTTTCTCCCCAGACTGTGAAAGCACTAAACCACTTAAAAGAAAACTTGAAAATCATTCACAGAGGTGGGTATGAATTCTTTTTTATAGATTAGAAATTAATATTTTTCCTTAATAGGAAAACATTATTGAAAATTACAGTGTCTCTGTATAAGCTTTCCTGAAATAGGTGTTTTGTTTTATTTTTAAAGATTTTATTTATTTATTTGACAGAGACAGCGAGAGAGGGAACACAAGCAAGGGGAGTGGGAGAGGGAGAAGCAGGCTTCCCGCCAAGCAGGGAGCCTGATGCAGGGCTTCATCCAGGACCCTGAGATCATGACCTGAGCCGAAGGCAGATGCTTAATGACTGAGCCACCCAGGCGCCCCTGAAATATTTGTATTTTTAACAAAACATATTATATGTACCCTGCCCTAACACTATTATTATTATTATTATTATTTAAAGATTTTATTTATTTATTTGACAGAAAGAGACACAGCGAAAGAGGGAACACAAGCAGGGGGAGTGGGAGAGGGAGAAGCAGGCTCCCCGCAGAGCAGGGAGCCTGATGCGGGGCTCGATCCCAGGACCCTGGGATCATGACCTGAGCCGAAGGCAGACGCTTAATGACTGAGCCGCCCAGGCGCCCCTATTATTATTTTTTTTCCCTAAAACTTTTGTTATTAATTTAGGGTATTTTTTTCCTTTGAGATTCTATAAATTTCAGCTTATTAGTTTATTGAGCTTAGGAATTGAAACAGATTTTGCTGCAAGTTTCTTCTTACTCTTAGTTGAAAAACAATTATTCATTTACTTGATAGATAATGTTTCTCTGTGTATACACATGGGCCCAAAGGTGGTCCCGGGGACATTCATAGGATCTGGAGGGTGGTACCTGGAGCATTTTAAAGGCATGCTGCTGTCCCTTTCAGGTGTTTCTTCTTTACTATAGAGGATATTTTTGCAAATAGAGATGCTTTAATTATTGTACATTGAAATTCTTCTAAAGTGTTTGTATTTGTGAGAACAGTGATTTTGGACTTGTTGGACACAGGTCCAAATATAATTTGATGTAGATTTATTGGAAGCCAGTGGGAATCATGAAATTAATTCAGCAGATAGTTTAAATAGTGGCTCTTTTTATTACTGTGCTAGACTCGGGGTAGTGCGATGGTGGCTTTGAAGAGGCACGTAAGTTCACTTTCCTCAGGAAACTTGTAGTGGAGAAACCCGACAGTCACGACAGTGTGGGATTCAGCCTGACAATAAATAGAACAAAAAGTAGAAGGTTGTATTCAGAGAAGTGAAAAGCCTTACATTTCCAGGAAACATAGTTTCTAGTGGTTAAAGAAATTAATAATTGGTGCATTTATTTAAGTAATTTTAGTTTGGGGTTAACTCAAGACCACTGCAATTACTTAACCTTGAACATCAGAATATTTCACTTAATTTTGCTTTGGCTTAATGCTTGCTAAAAATAATTTTAGATAGGCTTCTCATTTTCTCTTTTGACCTAAAATCATGTAGAGTTAGGTCCCTAAACAAAATTATTTTGTTCTTCTTGTAGTTCATTGCATTCTTGTTTTGGGATTTTTTCCTTCCTTTTTGACTGTGTTTTGCACTTGAGAGTATATCACCTTTAGGGCATTTAACAATTACCTTGGAGATACTTGTCAATTACAGGAAAGCACTAAGATGGTGACTGAGGAGATAACTGAATAAATGGAAATGCTTCAAAAATCACCTTGGTTTTCCTATTAATAAATAAAATGATGAGTTTATAGCAGCCTTTTTAAAAAAAAGATTTTATTTATTTATTTGAGAGAGAGAGAGAGCACAAATGGGGGAAGGGACAGAGGGAGAGGGACAAGCAGACAGCCCGCTGAGCAGACACTTAACTGACTGAGCCACCCAGACGCCCCAATATAGCGGTCTTTTTATTAATTAGGAGCAGTTAGCTTTTTTGCTACAGTTAAGAGTGCAAAAAATCCTGTTTATCACGAGTTACAAAAAATCCTGGTAACTGCCTTAAACTTCAAGGAAATTCACTATCTGTCCTAACAAGCCCAAGGATAGGATGGCTCCAGGCACAGTATGTTTAGGGCCTAAGCACCCTTCCTTTGGTTCTACCTTTCTTAATACGTTGGCTCCATCCTCAGGGTGGTAATGACCAAAGCAAGTCCCCAGTGTCACATGTAGACATGACAGCCTCCTGGAGAAGCACTCCCTCTTCCTGTGTGGCTGTCTTAGGAGTTGGGACATCTTCCTTACATCGCTCTAATGTTTTCTCTTGTCTCATTCACCAGAATTGCTTCAGGCCCTTACCCTAAACTGGTTCCTGGCAAGGACCATCAGGCGATCCTGATAGGCTTAGACCAGTCACACCTCGGTTTGGGGAGGTGTGGTTATGGCTACATGGAGGAGGGGATCCCTCCATAAAATCAAATGCAGATTCCATTAGAAGGGATGGGGTTGGTGGGTAGGATGGATGCCTATCAAGATAGGCAGTCAGCATTGTCAGTGACGGCAGGAGACCTTCTCTGGATCTTTTGGTAGATCCCCTTCTGAGTTATAGACAGATGTTTTTGTATCTTGTATTTGTATCCTTTTTATTCATTGAGCCATGGCAGTGACAATGAAATGTATAGAAGCATTGAGACAGGGATGGAGAATTCATGAGCAAAGGGGGAGAATTGATCGGACAGTGGATTAGTACATGGTGGTGGTGAGCTCATGGTCAGTGAGGAAGTGAAAATGAATCTCAAGGACGACTGGAAGAAAGGGTTGGTCGGGGGAAACTTGATGAAGTCCTCTAAGGTCAGAAAAAAATCTCTTAAGGAGAAATAGTTATTAAGTGGATGCATTTATTGAATACAAATAAAGTTCAGGTACTATAATAGGTGTTTTAATTTCCAGAATCCTGGAATTAGCAATTGTTTTCATTTTGTAGATGACAAAATTGTGGTTGCTGAGTCAAAGTTGAGTAGCTTGCCTCAGGTTACACTGTGAATTTTGGACCCAGATTTTGAACCTTTGCTTCTCTGATCCCAAAGCTGTGGTCTTTCCGATGTACTGGATTGGATACTTTCCTAAGTTAGATAAAACTCGATTTTAACTAAATTGTGGGTGTATAATTTGTATAGTTTGCATTTAGGTGGATAGTCTTTGACATACTCTAAAGTAACTTGGTGTACTCTTATAGATTAAATTCTTTCTTCATAATTTGACCAGTAAGTAATGAATTTGAAGCAAGTAAATGTTGAGTCTTTTTTTTTTTTAAGATTTATTTATTTATTTATTTATTTATTTATTTATGTGAGAGAAAGAGAGCATGAGCAGAGGGGAGGAACAGAGGGAGAGGGAGAAGCAGACTCCCAGCTGAGCAGGGAGCCCGACGTGGGGCTTGATCCCAGCAGCCTGAGATCATGGCCTGAGCTGAAAGCAGATACTTAACCGACTGAGCCTCCTAGGCGCCCCAGTATAGCAGTCTTTTGATGAAAATGAAGAAAGCATTATAGAATGCCTGCATTTATTGGGAAGTATTTTTGATACTGAGTTTTTAACCATTGGCAGTTAGAGCACTGTTTCCTCATTTTTCCTCATTTTCTTATACGTCTGAATTTTAAGGATTTGATCACTTAATCTTGTCTAAGGTTTTTGGGTATTTTTGCTTAATGCACTTCAGAATGTAGCTCATTTGATCGATCACTTGTACACGGAATGACATCTGTCTCTCTGTCTCTCTCTCTCACAGATATCAAACCTTCCAATATTCTTCTGGACAGGAGTGGAAATATTAAGCTCTGTGACTTTGGCATCAGTGGACAGCTGGTGGACTCCATTGCCAAGACAAGAGATGCCGGGTGTAGGCCATACATGGCAGTAAGTGCAAAGGCCAGACCTTCCTGCTTGGTAGTCTTTGCCCAGAGAGCCCGTGCCTTTGGGTGTTCTCCTTCTAAGGGGTGTGCCATTGGTCATGCAGTTTCACCATACTAGAGTATTTTCCTCTACCCTAAAAACCAAACTGAGGTTCTAGCTTCTCCACGAAACTATGATATTATCCCAGTGAACTCCTATTTCATTGTCTTACTCTATTTCACTCATCCACTAGATGGTTGATTAGTTCTCAGAAGGCCTCCATGTTTCCAGCACCCCATATGCTCTCATGACTGTCATAGATAACATTGTAGGATCATGGATACTATGGATCCTGTGTCCACATCATCCATTAACACATGGAAAATGTGGCATAAGCCACTCAGTGATGCTTCTCTTCCAGTTGGAGAAGAATGGGAGACTGGAGTTCCCAGAGTTCCTAACAGAACTCAGTACGACTCAGAATCTGAAGCTATGTTCTGAATATTGTTGTCCCTTCCTTAGAGGTGGATGAAGCACACTGACAGATTCAGGGGTGGAGGTCTTGGGCATTTGCCAACCTAGAACCTGTTTCCCCTCAGGGAGACAGACTTACACTACCCTTTGACACATGTCACACTTCTCTTGCCCCAGCATATGCACATATGCTGTGCCTAAAGGCTGGATTTTGATCTGTATCTGATTGGAAATTTAGTGTCTGTATTTTAAGCACTTCCCTTAGGTGTTGGTATCTTCTTTAATGTGTCCGTGGTTCTTTGGGGACCAGCACGCTGCTCTTAAGTGGTGACACATAGGCTGTGCAGACTATGGAGACATTTCTGTCAGCAGCTTCGGCTGCAGTGTTTATGGACTTGTGTGTGCCTAAAAAGAGACTTCCATTTAAAGTTTGGGCTTTGTGGATGTTGACTGGTGAGGCAGATTATTGGGAAAACTTGGAAGGTCTTGCATTCATTATGATATTAGGGGATAAATGAAACAACAATTTCAAAATCAAGAAATAAAACATATTAAACATGGAGCATTTGGGAAGTCATACAATTTACGCATTTAGTGATGATGCCGTGAGAATTAACTAGAAGCTATTATTACACTTGTAGGGCTTGTCACAGTACTGAGGTTGACTAAGTGTTTTTGCTGTGTGACACTGACTAAGAATTATGTTTGATTTATGCAGGGTTTTGTTTTTTTTAAGATTTTATTTATTTACTTGAGACACACAGAGAGAGCGAGTGAGCATGAGCACACATAAGCAGGGGGAGGGGCAGAGGGAGAAGCAGACTCCACACCGAGCAGGGAGCCTGATGTGGGGCCCTATCCCAGGACCCTGAGGTCATGACCCAAGCCAAAGGCAGACCCTTACCTGACTGAGCCTCCCAGGTGCCCCTCATTTATGCAGGTTTTAAAAATGTAACTGCAGCCCAGCTAGAGCTGAATGTTTGAATTCAGGTAACTTTTAAGAGAGAAGTAGACTTTCAATTTTTGTGTGGAAATAAGGTTTACAGGCCCAGGAGGGGCAGGGCTTTCCTTTCCCTGCTGAGCTTCTTCAGCCTTGGAGTCAGCAGGCTGATAATAAACTCTCTCTCTGCCTCTGATCTTTATTGGACTAAATGAAATGCTTCTTTCTGTTCTAGTCTTTCAAGGCCCCATAGACGGACGAGAGTGTGATCGGCATTCTTTTTATTACGAGCCTTGTGGTTACTTGACGCTTTGATGCACTTTGACCATAGGTCTCGGAGATGTATCTTGTCTTTTTATTTAAGATTTATTATTTGTCTTTAGTCTATAGGAATTATGATTTCTTTTTACACTATTTAACATAAAGATGTATAAAATGTAGAGTCGAAACACAACTTTCTCCATAAACCAATTGTTAATGCTAACATTTTGGGGCCTCCGCACCTCCTTATCTATGTGTGTATATACAGATGTGTCTGTGTGTGTTCTGGGCCATTTGAAAGTAAGTTGCAGATATCATGAATTTCATTCCAGACGCTTCTGCGTGTATCTCCCATGGAAAAGAGTGATCTTCTGTGTAACCACAATACCGTGACCACACCTAAAACAGAAACCTAAAGTAATGAACGAGAATTTCATGGCATCATCTGATACATTGTTCAGAAACAGATTTCCCAGGAATGTCCCACATTCTGGATTTATCTGATTATCGTTCCCTCATGAGGAGTTTCAGGCTATATATTTTTTCAGCATGGATACTTCGTAGACGATGGGCAATTCATATTGCATCACATTGCAAAGCACATCATGTTAGGTTAGTTCACTAATTGTAATGCTTATAGATGTGTTTTTTTCTTTCCTTTTAAGCAGTTGAGACATTTGTAAAACAGAAACTCATTTTCTCAATTTTTTTTTCTTTGTTCCTCTTCTCCAATTGAGTAATTGATGATCTTTTCATTTTCGAAGGATTCCTTCACCCGCTAGCCTCGCGTGCTTCCCCTCTGCTGTCCTCCAACGTGGAGTCGCACCAGCTTCCCTATCTTTGAGCAGCATTTCCTCTAGTACCTCTCCTTCTGTGATAGAAGCCCATCTGTATTAGTTTGTAAGACAACTTAGTCTTAATTGGTAGTAGAAGTAGGAACTTGTTTCATAGCAGTACTTTCTGAAATATGTCAATTCATTTATCTTGGGCATTTCTCAAACCCTGATGTAATCTCCTCTTAAAATAGATACAGCCTGTGAGGCATGAAAATCTAATCAAGATCTATCTCATAATAATTATAGATATATAATTTTCATTTTCCACTTGTATTTAAGACTGAAACAGTGGTATTCACTTTTTTCTCTTTGGAAGACCATTCACGTTTTCAAAATGTCTGGTAAAGAAATTATTTACCAGTTCCTATAACACTTATTTTTGTTGGGAGGCTTCTATGACAAACTCCATTTCTTTGCTTGTTCTGAGTCTATCCAGATTTTCTCATTCTTCTGAGTCAGTTTTGGTAATTTGTGTGCTTTTAGGAATTTTTCCATTCCGTCTGACTTTGTCTTATAAGTGTAATGTCTGTGCTTCCTCAGGTAGTTTCTAGTTTCTCTTCATGTCTCCAGTGAATGGGTCATACTTTCCAGTTTCTTTGCGTGCTTTGTATTTTTGTGTGGTGAGAAACTGGACATTTTGAATATTAAAATGTGGTGATTCCGGGAGGTGTCTGGGTGGCTTAGTCAGTTAAGCTTCCGACTCTTGGTTTCAGCTCAGGCCGTGATTTCAGGGTCGTGAGATCGAGCCCCTCATTGGGCTCTGTGCCAGTGGGGAGTCTCCTTGAAATTCTCTCTCCCTCTGCCTGCCCCCCTCCGCCCCGCCCCTGCTCTCACGTGCTCTCACTCTTAAATAAATAAATGTAATTTTGGAACTAAATTATTAATTCTGGAAATAAAATATGATGATTCTTTCCCTCTCCTCATGGTTTTTGTTTTGTTCCTTTCTGTGAGATGTAGCTATTTCTCTAGAGATTTTTTTCCTTATAGCCTTATTTTAAAGTCTGTATTCTTACTCCTATGTGGTCTCTGATGTGTTTTCTTAGCTTGTGTTCAGCTACTATTTTGACAGTTTTGTTTTTTGTTTTCTTAGGGGTTTTTTTGGATACCAGGACACAAAAAGAAAAAAAATCCATTAAGAAAACAAAGGGGAAAAAAAAAAAACCCAAATATTCCAGTCTTTGCAGATTGGCTTTGTGCTTGGGTCCTCCTGCTTAGCCCAACCATTTACAAACCTGCCTTCACTTTTACTTCTTACTTGCCCTGAGTCTGTAGATCAGCCAGAGGTTACAGCTTAAGTTCTTCTCAGGTCTTTCTGAGTGTGTGTCCTGCCCTGGGCATGCACATGGCTTTCTGAATTTCTCAGTACACACAGGTGGTTTTGAATGGCTTAATTTTCCAAAGAGACTCTGCCATCTACTTTTCCCACCATACTTCTGGTGCTCTCATCTTTTGCCCCAGCCATCTGCGGGTCATTCATTTACCTTACAGCATTTTCGAGGAATGTCCTCTGCTTTTCTGCCTTGAGTGAGTTCCAAGTTAGGCAGAACAGAGGCGGACACCACACCTAGTCTTCATTGCCCCGAGACAGGTTGGAACTGACAAACACAGTTCTGCTCTGTTCCCTCTTCCCTCTGAACCCAGTGCCCAGGGCCCGACCCTGAGGACACTGGCTGCCATCTTCAAGACTCCTGTTGAGCTGGGGTAGGGATTGGGACGGGGTCAAGTAAAAACGCTGCAGACGTTTCTTACCATTTTTAAGTGGGCTTGTTCTTGATTCATTGTTTGCTTGGCTGTTAGAAACTGTGGAATTTTGTCCAGAATTCTGACAGAGTTGGTTATGTCTATAACAACTTTTATTCTTCCCCTCTCCTCATGGTTTATTTTTTTGCTTTATTTTTTCGTGTTTCTTTGGAGGGATGGTCCCTTGGAGATACCTGCTCTGCTGCTTTTGCCATGGTCACTCTATATGTCATTTTTATTTTTTATTTTTTTATTTTTTTAAAGATTTTATTTATTTATTTGAGGGAGAGAGTGAGAGAGAGAGAGAGAGAGAGCCCAAGAGGGAAGAGGGTCAGAGGGAGAAGCAGACTCCCCGCTGAGCAGGGAGCCTGATGTGGGACTCGATCCCGGGACTCCAGGACCATGACCTGAGCCGAAGGCAGTCGCTCAACCCACTGAGCCACCCAGGCGCCCTAGATATCATTTTTAATGAAGGCAGTGTGGTTTTACACAAATCCTGTTCAAATAACTGGGAGATAGCATACAAAGTGGGTTTTTAAAAATTTTATTTCTGGATGACATGTTATGGGTATTTTATCAAGAAAGCTTTCTAGGGCCAGATAACTAAGTGGGAATCACCGTGTGCCAATCATAGTGATATAGATACATCATGTATATTAGCACACTAATTAAAAATACCGAGAAAAATCTCCACAAAGAAACATCTTTTCTAATCTAGCATTCCCCGAGTATTTGTCAGTGGAACCCACTTCCTTTTGTGGCCTGCCTGTTAA